GGGCATCGAGGACTTCGAAGCATCCCGTGGCTGGCTTCAAAAGTTCGTTGCTCGACATCAGCTGTCTTGTGTGGTGATCGAGCGGAGGTCAACTTCGAGACAGTGAGTGAGTGAGTGGAAAGAAAAGCTACCAGGTTTGTTACTAGTCTCATTTCGTAGCAAATAGTCCTACTTTTTTAACACGATATTTAGTTCATATACCTGTCACCTGTATCCCTGTTTTTGTGTTATAAACAGTTTTGGGGTAATATATTGTTGCGCTTTGTTGCTTGTGTTGTCACACATGTATGTTGTTAACATACTTGGACGTTCATCCAGGACATATACCACAGATGTTTCACTGTTCTCATAAAAAAATAAATAAATAAATAAAAAAATAAAAATAAAAAAAAGTATGGTAATGCATTAATGCTTTTTCTGTAAAATAACTGCACTTTCATTATCTAGCAATAATACATACTCTTATCAGCTTCTGTTAACAATGTCATAAACTTATTTCAACGTAGAAATAAAACTGAAATTGGGAGTACCAGTAGATTCCTAACTTTTGGCCCGGCCCTCCACAATATTTTCTGCTCCTCATTTGGCCCCCCCAGGAAAATAATTGCCCACCCCTGCTCTAAACTGTCCCTCGGTGTGAGTGTGAGCGTGGATGGTTGTTCGTCTCTGTGTGCCTTGCGATTGGCTGGCAACTGGTTCAGGGTGTCCCCCACCTATAGCCCGAAGACGGCTAGGATAGGCTCCAGCAACACCCCGCGACCCTTGTGAGGATAAAGCGGTTCGGAAAATGGATGGATGAATGGATGTACAAGCCATCGGATCAGGGAGAATTGAAAATTGCTTACTTTTAAATTTAGGAAAGTGTAGTGTAAATTTAGCAGTGTATCAAAACCAAGTCCCCGAGTCAGTACGTCTCAATTTCCCTTTTATTTGGTACATGACAGAATCAATTGTCAGGCGCGTGATAGGAGTCTCAAGCTATAAGTTGTTTGATTTGTCTAGGCCCATCCGGTCTGGCCGTTTCACTCAATGTGTGGTGGACCGCAGCGCCGGACTTGGGAAGACAAAGGCTTTTGCTTTGCTGCCCAAAAATAACATTGCAAAGATTGTTTCTTCTTTGACGTGTTTTTAGTCTTCTATTATGGATTTTGTGGATTGTTTTTTCTTTTCTTTTACAATAACATGCAGTGGCATGAGTAGCAGGTAAGGGAAAACATTGTATTTGGTATCTTTAGTGTGCTGCTGTATCCATTGTGTCCAAAGTGTAGTGAATGAGTAGCTCATTGCCAGCACTGATCCATAATGCTTTGCAATGATATGCATTGTTGCTTGAGAGATCTGTATAATTTGTGCCAAGTGTAGGTGTGTGCCGCTGCTGTTTGCATCAAGTTCTGTCCTTCCATATATGATAGTGTTAGTGATTCGTGTGTGTGTGTGTGTGTGTGTGTGTGTGTGTGTGTGTGTGTGCGCGTGTGCCTGTGTGCCTGTGTGCCTGTGTGCGCGCGTGTGTGTGTGTGTGTGTGTGTGTGTGTGTGCGTGCGTGTGTGCGCGCGCACGCGCGCAGGAACATAGTTGTGATGGTGAGAATACAGTTCAAGACACTGTGACTGTGATACCAGGAAGTGCCTTACTCTGGAGGATATCACCACGGCCTCATCACTCGGCACAGGTTGGTGTTACGCACATGCCCACGCCATGTAGTTCTCGTGGCTCATGCTAATCCTTGTCATCTCGTTCAGATGTACAACTTTACCAGCTTTGCCGTGACCTTAAATGAGCTGGAGCCTGGCATGGAGCGACTACTGGCGCCAACTGACTGCCGGCAGAGGCCCGATATCCGAGCAATGGAGAGTGGAGACTTAGGTAGCATCCGTCTGCAACATCTGGCCAGCTGTGGCTTTTCTTCTGTAGTCCTGACTTTGTGTACTTACACAGACACGGCAAGTGCAGAGAAAGAGCGTCTTGAGGAGAAACAGAGGGCCGCACGTCGAAAGCGATCCAAGGATGAGAAGAAGTGGTCAACCAGGTATCAAACTGTGTGCACTGTGTTGCGTGGATGGATGTCCCTGAATTTCTTAATTTCAATGAAGAGATAACAGTATTGTGGTGTTTGGTTCCAGTGGCACTTGTGCATCCCATGCTGTTGACCGGGGCCTCGTACTATCTCATCTTAAGCCAGCAGTCTCTAACTTGGGTTTTAAATTGGACAGTGATTTTAAATTGGACCAGAAAAGTGGTGCTGTTGTTGAAACCAGCTTCTTTCATCTCAGGCAGCTGGCTATGGTAAAGCCCTTCCTTTCTCAGCAGCACTTCGATCCAATTCATGCCTTCGTTAAATCTAGGCTGGATGACTGTCATGCACTTTATTTTGGAGTCAGCCAGTTTTCCCCCAAGCATCATCTGTTGGTTCAAAATGCTGCTGCTCGCCTCCTAACTGGAGCTCATGAGGATGAGCACATAACCCCAATTCGGTCTTCCCTTAACTGGCTCCCAGCACATCTTAGAGTTCATTTTCAGATACTTGTATTGTTGTCAAACCTTTTAATGGCCTTGGCTTACTTATCTGAGCTCCTCGACTCCTACGCACGTGACCGGTGCCCGAGGTCTGTGGACCAGACGCTACTGTGGAGGTACCGAGGACCAAGCATAGACTCAGAGGGGATCAAGCTTTTGTTGTTGCCGGTCCTTCCCTCTGGAATGACCTTTCATTAAACTTTAGGAAAGCCTCCTCCATGTCCATTTTTAAAATTAGTTTCAAGACAAATTTTTATTCTTTGGCTTTCGCCCAACATGAGACTGACACTCTTCTATTGTTTTTTCATGTCTACTGTATATGTGTTCGTATCATTCATTTGGGTTTTTATTTACTCTTTACAGTTTTTGTTGTTGTACAGTATTGTTATGTTATTTGTAAAGTGCTTTGTTACAGCTGTAGCTGTTATAATATGCACTATATGAATAAAGGTGCATTGTATATTGTATTGGAGTAATAATAATAATAATATTTGGCTTTACGCCATTTGGATTTTTGGGGCCGATCAGTAGTAAGTTTGTACAAACTGATAATTGATCACCGAGTCGATCAGGAGATGCTTCCCAGATTTTGCACTGTATTTATCAAGGGTGCCTCCATTGTCCTCAGGTCTTTACCTGTATATAAATTTGACAAAATAGCAGGAAATCGTTCTGCCAGTCCATCTCATATTCGAAACTCTTTCTGACGTCGTTCTCTGATGGAATATATTTTAAGTGGAGGTGCCTTGCAGTCGTCGTCACCATATGTCCTCCAGCCACACGACGGTGCCCACTAACGCTACATTCAGTGGTTCCCTCCAACTCTATGGCCACATATACAATGAATGGGTTTGATGACTGCTAAGTTCAGCGTGAAAAAGGCTTTAAGAGCCTCATTCGGCTTTTGAGCCGTGGGTTGGCCAGGCCTGATAATAGGCTGTGTCCAAATTCACAGGCTGAGTCCTCCAAAGGCCGCATTTTCGGCAGCATGACATCAGTTCGGCGTGACTCTACTGCACGTGTTTTCCAAATTCATATGAAGCCTGTCCAAATTTGCCACGGTTTATGCGGTCCACGGAGGCTACATGAGAAGGCGCCTTTGAAAGCGGTGAAGGAACCAGCCTGCTAATTGTCTTTCTAGAATTTGGAAACCAGGTGCGGTCGAGGTGTGCTGGAACTCAAGTCACGTGGATGAAAATGCAGCCTCCGGAGCCCATTAAATTGGACACAGCCAAATAATGTCGCGCTTCGGTAGCACAGGATGGCTTGGGCTGAGGTTTTCTACGCAGAACAACCTGATTAAAAACATGAAGTTTAATTTTACTGTTTTTGAAAAATGCCAAATAGCTAAGGAGTTGATGAAGCTAGGCGAGGCTGACACACTGACACGAAAATAATTCTCAAACATTTTGCTCACGCCCCTTCAGGTGGTTCCAGCTGGGAGTCAACCCTCACACTGGTGTGGAGGATTGGCTCTACATGGGCGAATACTTTGACAGGAACTTCGCCGACTGTCCCAACATTTACTGACGGTAGAAGATGTTCTCACTTGATTTCACTCAGCATTTTAAGATAAGTGTGCCGTATTGGACACATCTGTGGTAGCGTTTGAACTAATCATGTCAATGCCACCCACGGAAAAGGTTATCCTAAGTTTACTCTTGTAGATGTTGATCATAATTCCCACTATACTCACCTTTGATGTGCTCTCCTAATCATAGCCCACGTGATGTCAATGTTACGCAGCTGTAAAATGATTTGAATCGCAGGACATACAGCCTGGCCTCCCTTTAAGTTCACACGCTAACCTTCAATGTTACATGTCAACGCACAATGTATTTCTATCAAGTTGCATTCAAATGTCAGAGGTTATTTAAACACATGCTACTTTACTTTAATGCGTTATCAAATAAAAAAGCCAACTAACCCGCTCTGAAGAGATCATGAGTGTTTTCTCGCAATAGCAAGATGCTTTTCCCCACATTTACTTCCACAGTAAAATGCTATTGTAGGTTGCCACATTCTGATGTAGCTGCTAATGTGTCGATTTTTTTGGTGCACGCATGGCACTCAAAGCTGGTCTTTTACAAATGTCAAAGCCATCAAATATCTTCTGCACTGAGGGAAAATACTGATGTATTCAGATCGAACTTCAAAACAAAGGGATTCGAAGCATACTGTGTTTTATCCGAAAGCTGTGACTGTATATTTTAGACTTTTTATATTCACACAAGAGCCGTTAATTCTGACGTGAGTGTAAAGACTTCTATCATTTTCTTCCAACAACCAAAGTCTAATGTCAGAATAGGGCTCGAACCTTTATGCAAGCTGATGCATACAGTTGACCCCTCTGAAATGTGAAAAATTCAAACATTTAATTCCCGTAGGGCTGGATTGAAAAACATTGATGAATCGAATTTCATCTGTTTGCTTTTTTATAGTCCAATATCAATTCTTAAAAGAAATACCATCGCAGAAGCACTCAAACCAGCGCCAACAAGCTAGAAGGAAGACGTATGGACGTTTTGGGGGTTTTAAAAAATGTGAAAACAGCAATGAACTTATGCTTTGTGAAACAGTCACAAGAAGGTGAATTTCATGACAGTGTTCAACACGTTATTTACACAGACTGCCCTGTGTTGGAATTGATTGAAATTATTTGTTTTGATCATGTCATGTTCAATAAAGCACACGTGATGAATGTAACTGCACTGCGTTCTATTTTTAATGTAACTTCTGAAAATTTCATCCACATGAAAGTAAAAATGGTGCCACGTGAAATCCTTCCTTAACTAAATCGAAAATCAAAGTGAATCAATTTTGGAGATATGAATCATGAATGTGATACAGCATGCTTATTAATATTGTTTCTGAGTAATAACATTGCCTAAAATGGCAAAGTCGAAGGCTCACTGCCCTATGCACAAACTATACTGTTTGATGAACAATGCTTTCTTGAGTTACACACACTTTCAACCCTGCAGACACCAGTGGTGCAGGATTCATTATGCTTCCTGTTTATGATGTTGGTCTAATTGAGAGTTTATGTTGTCTGTTTAGTGATCATCCCTCTTGACATGACACTCATCCACACACAAACCAGGTATATTTAGGAATAGATTAAAATATGGACCATGAAAATGAACTGGTCCTACCATGTGTTATTTGATTACTCTATGTTCTCATAGCAAATAATAAGATGAAAGTGAGAAACATTAATGAACCACTAAAACACAACCAAGCAACACTTAACGTTTTCAGGTACATATAAAATGTACCTTCACATATTTTCATTTAAAAAGCATATAAACGTACGCCTACGCTTTTCTTCATTCTAAGCGATGTATTACTGTATTGTATTTGTGGAATACGTTATAATAAAACATTCACGGTTTTTGATTTTACAGCTTACCCCCAGCGAGTCCCAGGGACTCGCTGATCAGAAAAGTATGAGTCCCATTATGCATTTAGAGAGTCCCAAATTTCGAAATCTGAAATGGTCTCCTTCTTCAATTGCATATGATAATAATACAAACAACAACATATACATACAATTATAAACAAATGCTGCAAAAATTTAAATAATTCAGTAGCAGGCCTGAGGATTTCGGAAATTCACGGTCACCGTTTTTCGGTTCCGTCAGATTACCCAATGGGAAACCACGGTAGGTAATTTTGGGTTCCGTAAACGTTCATCATGGGAACCCATTTTTCTATTTTGACTGATATTGATAATCAAGAATTCTGAAACTCAAAAGTATAATGTTTCAAGGGTAAATGTTTGAAAACTATGCATTAACAATGAACATTACATCAGCAGCTGTGTACTCCAAGTTTATTCAAAAAAATAAATACAATGGTGTACTCATCTGGCATCATGAATACAGCATACCACAAAATCAGAGTATTTTTTCAAATCTCACACTGCAAAGATTTATTTACTGGTAATCATTGATACGGGTAAGTATTGATGTGGCTTGACATCCTCTTCCCAAGACGATGCATGTGTCATCTACAGTCAAACCTCGGTTTTCGAACGTCTCTGTTCTCGACCACTTCGGTTTTCGACCAAAAATTTCAAGTTTTTTATGCCTTGGCTGACGAACGAATTTCGGTTCTCGAACAAACAGAGCGCACTTAAATGCGTCACTTGACTACTCTCTCCTTCCTTACACGAGGAAGTGACGCTTCCTTGGGTAGACGAGGAAGTGACGCTTCCTCGTGTAGCATTCCATTGTGAACAGACGTGTTCAAAAAAGTTTTTTTTTTTTTTTTTTTTAAAAGAGCGTGGTTTCGGTTTTCGAACAAATACGTTTTCAAACAACCTTCTGGAACGGATTATGGTCGAAAACCGAGGTATGATTGTACTATCAATTTGACGAAAGAATCTACCACACGTCATCGTTAGTGCTACCAACAGTTAACGTTAGCAGTGCTACACCTTGTGACGAATGTTTTATTCCTAAAGTTACCATGCTACAACCAGTAAATTATAGAATAACCAAGACTGTTTCATAATATTTTTCATAGCGATTAGCATGGGCGTCATTAGGCCTATTTTAGGGAGGCTTCAGCCTCCCTAAAAATGTCTTTAGCCCCCCTAAATAATTTCATTGCATTATTTAAAAAAAAGTATTATTTATTTTTCCTGTACTTTTGCTAATATATTGCATCAAATTCAATGTAATGTGGCCATTTTAAATTATATTTCGATA